CCGAGAACTATGATTTTCGTGCTCACTATCCCGCTGCTCCTAATCGTGATTCCGATTTATCCGTTCTCGAGGCGGTATTCAGAACAAGGTGGGCGAACGGTACTCTAAGTATTCCTTGCTTTCTCCCTGATCATGAGAAAAACCACGTAATTTATTATTAATAACCAACGCGAGTAGGTGGTAAGGCCTGTCCAACGCCCGCGCCTTTTCCCTGCGTTTACGTTGTATTAATAAATGGCTAATTCGTTAAGGCTATTGTAAATGAACATGTATGTACAGTAACGAGCTAGCATCGTGATGCTCGGATATTAGTACCAGTCACTCTAAGTGGGAATAGAGTGTTACTTTTGTAGCATTTTCGTCGGAGAAGACTCGTGCTGTGGAGATGCTGGATCTTCCATTGGCTGAGTTCCTTTGGCTCGTGAGATAGGATCCTAGATGAACGAATTAACTTATATATTAATTGGAAATCTGCTGTCGTCTAAATTAGGGTTTCTCCGTTCGTCAAATAAAAAGATTAACTACGCTTCTTGAATTTTTCTGAAAATCTTGGACCAGGATTGATGTATCGTACTGAAATCTTTATATTTAGAATAAATTTCCTGTGCTTACTTCTTGGAAAGAATCGATTTAGCGAGTAAACGATTCGCGTGATTGTTCAGGAAGATCGATTTTGGATTTCAAGATCCACGAATATAAAAATATTTATAGATGTTTTTCTAAAATACAATTTCTTAAGGGATATGAAGGGGATGACGCTGGAAGACCATAGATCATTCTGATGAAGACCATAGATCATCCCAAAAGGAACCTTTTGAGCCAAGAAGGTTGAGAAACCCTAATCTAAATAACCAATTTTAAATTTCTGATTGAACATTGTGCAATCAGCGTTATCATCTTCGACATTTCATGATTTTTCTTGAGATGTACATACTCCTATAATCAATATTCGATTCTTATTCCTGCTCTTCTTATTTCTTCCCTCCTGGAATTCACTCTCCTGAAACAAAAATTATATATACAATTATAAATAAAAATTATACATAAAGAAATAATTATATATAGATAATACACGTATATAATTGTTCAAACCGTATCACACTCCATCATACTCCAACAAATGAATAAAATTAAAAGTCGAGTACGCGACTTCAAATTCTACCAGAAGCTCCCATGTGCTGTCACAAAACGTAACTCGGTCTCGTCCAAAAAATATCGCCATACATTCCCCATAGAACTATCTGGAAATTAACGAAAGCAAATCAGAACTTAGAATTCGAGATTAGAATCAGGCTCGTCGATGCTCCCTTTTATTCCCGCGCCTGGCGTTTACCTTCAAACGTGTCCTCGACTTCTGTCAGCAGAAGATTGCGACAGCTGGAATGAAATTCCGCCTTCGTCTACAGGATAATATTTTCCTGTGCTCGAAATAGAACTCTCAGCGATCGTTTTTCTCGAGACAATCGTCGGATCGAACAGCCCGTGACGGATCAAAGGTAGCCAGCAGCAAGAGTATCCGTGCCGGATAAGATAAAACTGAACGTTCCTTACCATACCACTCGACACTCGAGGACATTGGTCTCTGTTTAAACAGACTTTCGCGATTTGGAAATTTTCTCCGCTTAATCGGCTGATTTTTCCGCCATCAGGATCCTTCAAATCTGTCAGAAACGTAGGTAAAAGATATTTCTTCGCGGATTTCACTGAGTCGAGTCGAATGGGCGATTTGCCGGTCGTTATGGCGAAATTTACGCGAATAGGTCGGCTAGAAATAACAGGCTATCGAAATATTATCGTCCCTGTTCGAATACGGAACCGAGCCTGCGACCACTTCGCGGAACTTTCATTCTTTTGCATAGCTCGCCGCGTGATTCACAGTAGGCGAGTCTAGCCGGTATATCCTGCATCGTTTGTATCCTGTTATGTCCATTGTTCGACATCCTGTCGGTGCTGTACCTGATACCGTCGAAACATCATCTCAATCTTCCAAGCACGTGGTACTTTCTTCTGGGATAGCTGCTTCTTCGAAGAAGTGACTGCAGTGGGCCTCGAAAATAGATCCTTCTTGCTTTTCATCTAATTTAGGTTCTAAAATAAAGTTGATTACCTTACTATAATAATCGTTACATAAATTTAATTACCTTACTTTTAATAAGTTTTAAATAAATTTTTAACCTTTTTAACATTGAAATTTTTGACTTCTTATACCTTTGAAACCTTTAATAACTTCTGTATAAATTTGATAACCTTCCAGCTCCACCTGAAACAAATAAAACGAAGTTAGACGAATGGAATGAAATAAAATAAAATTTTGAAAGTTACCAAGGATGTAAGGATTTCACTAGGTGGAACGATGTTGTATTTGTTTACGAAAGTTTAATAGATTGCAAGTTTTCTCGCTTTCCAAAGTGAGTAGAAAGAATCGTTGGATTTGATTTTCTGATACAAGTAATAATTAAAATGTTTGGGTTATTCAACGTGAAAAAATGGAGGAAGATCGTAATCAATTTTGCAAGAACGTTATTTGCACTATGCCTAGCGATAATTGCGTTTTGGTATGATTCCCTAATTTAAGATACGAGGAAGTTCTTGTAACGCATTTGAGAGTCGATATTTTGCTTTGATATATAATTTCGAAATAACAAGTGCTCTGTAATTGATACAAGTAGTTTCTTCGATAAGTCAAACCAACTTCCTACGTAACACTTATGTCATCATACCCCCATTAACCGCTAAAGAACGCCAGTCGAATCAAATTTTCTCGTATCTTCGTATTAAGGCTAATGTAAATCTTAAAACTTGTCTTCTTTTTCGCTGTCGATTACTAGAACTTTCCTACATATTTTTCCAAGTTTCCGCTGAAGAGGTTGCGAAGCGAATAAGAAAATATTCGAGATGCGAAGGATTAAATATAACCACGGTTAAATTTCTAAGTATCGATATGGTGCATACTGAAAATCAAAAGAAAACACTTCATTCAGTGTTTCCTGGAAAATAACAAATTTTTAGTCACGACGAAAAGTTTGGTGAATATTGCCAAAAAGGAAAAGATATGAAATTAAATAATAAAAATAATGATATAATTAATTCAATTTATCTTAGAAAATATTGGAAACCATTCTATTTTATGCTCGAGAATATTTCTGCAACCACAGATTTGCAAATACTAGAAAATACTATGTACCTGCTACAAATGCCCATTGATTCAAACAATTCAATAAATTATTACCGAAAAAGAAAAAAATATTAAATTAGGTAAAAATTAAAAAATAATGATATAATTAATCCAATTTATATAAAGAAATATTTGAAACCAACGTAGGAAGAGAACCATTTTGTTTCATGCCCGGGAATAGCAATTTCCTCTAGCCATAAATTTTTAATTACGACCTAGAATATACTACACTAAAGTAGCTGCTAAAAATAGTAATACAATTATTCCAAACTCTCATAGAAAATATTCAAGACCAAACCTAATGCTAAAACTAACGTATGTCTACGATTATGAAATTTTCGATGCTGATTATCTACGATTCGCGCGACAAGATTCACGTAGTATTCGTGAAAGAAAATGGAGTCCACCCTGTGGCGAAACTACGAAAAGGACCAACAGCGACGCATCCGAGCGGGGAAAAAATAAGACCTTGCTCCCGTTGTGAAAGTAATCGCGACCGAGCTATTACGAGGAACGTGTGTCCTCTCACTTTCTGTATGCACGCCCGTACAATGTGCCACGGCTACGTGGTCGAATTACACCGAACGTCGGGTGCATTAACACCGTAAAAGGTGGCTGCCGTTAATTAACAGCGTACAGAGCCACGAGCGACGAAACGACGATAAATCACGCATGAAATCACGGAAAATTCTTTTCGGCCTGTGCTCCGCCTCTTCTTCGCCTCTCTCTTCTTCCCAACCCTCTTTCATAACGAACACGACGATAAAGTAGAGGTTATGTAGTTTCCCGTGACGCAGCAGTGTCGCAGTTGACCGTGCTAAACAATGAACATGACCTTAGTTATCATCGCGGAATGTTTAACTGGTCTTAACACTAGAACCACCGATCTTTAATGAGCACCTAACCGTAACGTGCACAGATTATAGTAATTTCAGCGATACGATGAATACGAGTGAATATATCGATTACGGTTCTTTCTTAATACGAGTTGATACCAATTTTATTCTTAAAGCAGGTGTATGTGTTCGGTGATTGCAAAAAAGAAAATTCTGGGACCCGTCATTTTCACTGGGTTGGTAGTTCTAATGATAAATTGGATTCAGAGTGATTTGGAATTAGACAAATTGAGATTTCGAGGTTAAGAGTTGCGAGATTGAAGTTTGGGAAAGACGTATGTTTGGTCGATGACTGAATCCATGAAAATAATATCTGGTATTCGTTAATTAATTGTTAATTGGTTTTTGGTGGACGTAGGTTTGTACGAATTTATTTTATTCTTATGTAATCATCATTGATTGCCAGGTTTGGGTGAAGTTTATTAATTTATGGTTTTAATTTATAAAGTTGAATTTGAGAATGAGATTAAAGATGGATAATTAGAGAGTATGGTTTAGAAATTGTTGATTTTCTTCTGGTACCAACAATAGGTTATGTTCGAGGTACATTGAAACAGAGATTTTCTTTATCATGCTCTGGAATAACAACTCTAGTAGCGCCATCCTACGTAAAAGTCTAGAACTGAGTCGAAATGAATAAGCAAAGTCAGAGACTCGTTGACAATACAGCACGAAATTGTAAAACGAGAAATTACAAACGTTATATCGATAAGTTACGCCATTATTCGTACCATTTGCAATTCGTAATTAACGATACACTTAATGATTTCCATTTTTCGCAGGTTATCACCGTATCTATGCTTTTATGGTAGAAGCTTCCGTGACACGTTTATCTTAAAATATTGTTACTTATGTAACAGAGAAATTATGCGCATGACATGTCTCATGGCAAAGTTCATTAGATATGACGTTACGTATGAAGAATAATACATGTTTCAACTACATTTATTACTGCAAAATCAATATAAAATATAGGAATATACATACCCATAGAATCGCAACAATACAGAATCTTAATTTTTTAAAATTACTTCCAAATTATACTCTTCGCCACTGTTCAACCGATGTGGAGCACATCTATCAAAAACGTTGCATTCTATAGAGACGTGTATTAAAACTTCCCCCATATAGTCGCAAAGCTACCATTCGACTTTTATCTATGATTACCGTCATTAGGTATTCATTTCGTCGACTACAGATGTGATCGTGTTGATGAATTTGGCTCTACCGAACTCTATTACTGCGTTGATGAACTCGAGGCTGCAGTCGATGAACCCAATACTGTTATTGACGAACCCGAAGTTGTTGTCGATGAACCCGATACTGTTGATAAACCCGAAGTTGTTGTCGATGAACCCGATACTGTTGACGAACCCGAAGTTGACGAACCCGAAGTTGACGATGAGCCCGATTCTGTCGACGAACCCAAAGTTGGCGATGAAGCCGATTCTGTCGACGAACCCAAAGTTGGCGATGAAGCCGATTCTGTCGACGAACCCAAAGTTGGCGATGAAGCCGATTCTGTCGACGAACCCAAAGTTGGCGATGAAGCCGATTCTGTCGACGAACCCAAAGTTGACGATGAAGCCGATTCTGTCGACGAACCCAAAGTTGACGATGAACCCGATTCTGTCGACGAACCCAAAGTTGGCGATGAAGCCGATTCTGTCGACGAACCCAAAGTTGGCGATGAAGCCGATTCTGTCGACGAACCCAAAGTTGACGATGAACCCGATTCTGTCGACGAACCCGATGTTGCTGTCGATGTTGTAGCTGGTGAACTCGACGCTGTCATCGTTGAACCCGTCGTGGACGTAGTCAAATATAATTCGGGGCATTTGAGAAAGCATACCACATTTATCGCATACGACGTAAGATCCAACTGTTTACACACATCGTCGCAAAAAGTCTTTCGCAACGAATCGAGGAGAGGAAATCCAAATCTTGGTTCCGGCCTTTGGTTTCCATCGGAAATAATCTCCTGTACAGTAAATCAAACAAACGAATATCAATATCCGTCGGAAAAATGACGATACACGATAGTTGTCGGCCATAAAAGGGAAGACACGTGTCCTGATCGATTGGATTTGCGACAAAGGTACGAATAGCGGGCAAATAATGGTTCTAGCAACGGCGGAAATTATTTACGCTTACGTAACCGAGAGCTTTCGAAACGCGAAAGCTGTGGCAAGTCTAACCTGTGACCAAACAGATCCGATCAATATGAACAAAGCAGCAATCCATGCGGCGTTACACGACATAACGAACTCGCTGTCAAGACAGTTCAGCGAGTAAATGACACGAGCAACATTTTCCAGCGAATTTTCCTTTCGTCTTATATGGAAACTCTGGAGTCGGTGGTGGATCGTTATAAATTCAAGTTTGACTTATTCCTCGTGATTGTCTATAATATCTTCATTGAAATTCATAGTTGTACCGCCTGACAGATAACATGCATCCTTATCGCGATGCATTGTTCGACGAACGCGAGTATACTTCAAGCGGCATTAACGAATATTGTCCTTACGTTACGCAGAAATGAAAACCGGTCGATAACAGGGGGGCAAACTCGGCTCGGAGGGGGGTCGAAATAGATCTTTTATTAAGTATAACATTTGAAATTCATTTATCAGTAAATACCGCTGAAAGAAAGAATATTATTCGCAACTCCGATGATTTTACTCGGAGTCATTGTTCGTTTCCAGCTGTATGCAAACGAGATATTCCGTGCGTGACCGAAGAATGAGAAAAAGAGGGTGCTCGGTGCCGATGAGTCGCGTGTTAACGTCGAAGCAAATCGAAATCCATTCCGTTTGTACTCGAATCTGTAGTCACGTTGTTAATTATCATATCAAAAGCCCGAGTATCGTGTTATTTTCCATGCCTAATTATATGCAACCTGCTTTGCATCCGCGCGAGCTCGATAGTTCCCTATTGTCTCGGTTAATTAAATCGTGCAACGAAAGAAAACACGCGAACACGAACCAAAATTCTTCCATCGTAAACTTCATCCCAACGATCTTATTCCGCATTCGCGACATTTTTCTTCGTCAAAAAACGATCCATTGGTACCAACAAATATTTCCGATTTTTATTTCATTAATCGGATAAAAATTTGTATCCTTCGAAACAGTGGAATTATCTTTGCATCGCTAATAGTTACTCTATAGTTACTCTTGTCCGATACGAGGTTAATAATTAACACCACCGAAAGGGATCGTTCCTTTCGCGAAAAGTATTTCCCATTCGCCTGACTGTCACGTGTCCGTCAAAGTCATACGGAAATGATTTTTGCATACGACGAGAAATGGAGGATTCGAGAGTGCATATAAGACGTTGATTATAACGGAGTTGCGCTTATGACCTTTCACGCAGGACTGCTTAAAGTTACGTCAATGGTGTGCATTGTACGAGAGAGCTGACTGGTTGGAAGGCGATAGACACCACGTGATCCTGCTACCAATGACGCCGGGGAATACCAACGGGTCGATAACAATGAGACCGACAACGAAGCCTCGGGAATATTCCCCTCGCCTTTGGTCTGTCGCCCTGACCTTATATTTTCTGTCGCTTCTCCTTCGCAAGGCATTAGTGTTTCTCATTGTACTACTTGATCCTTCGTAAGTCTTCGTTTCTTCTCCGTATTCTCCAAACAGTTGCACTTTTTCGCGTTACCCTAATGGAATACTATACACCATTCGGTTAACACGCGTATCTGTATATAATTTTATTAATTTTTACTCTGGGGAATAAATTTTGGTTTACACGCATCCGATTTTGTTAAATTTCTTCGATAATTGCGTCGCTTTAGAAAGGAAGCTTATGCCGTCTCTGAAAGTTTAATGGCGGAAATCGATACTCGCGTATCGACGTAAGGTTCGTACGAGTCGCGTGCTATATGGTCGAATTCTGAACCTGACGCACGTAAAAGTTAGGTTAAAAGATTACGATACGTTTCAATAGACTCGTAATTAATATATCGAACTGATATAACAGCGGAGAAAGTGTTCAATTATCGAAAATAACGGAACGTAAGGTGCGTATTATCTTGGCGTAACTTCCTTACCACATGTCGGTAACGCAACACACTTTCCGTGTATAATTATTATTATTATCGTATAAATAATTTTTAACTGGACTAATACTCTGTCCCAGATATTCGCATTCTCGTGTTTAAACAGAAACGCGAGGATTTATAGGTGCAAATTTTTCGCTACCGTACACGTGCATACATGGTTCGAAATATTTCGACATTTTTGATATTTCGAAATATTTAGAACGAAACGAATGTCCGTGATAAAATTTTTGCGAAATTAAAAGCAGTAATCGTAGATGTAAGAAAAAATTCGGTGACACGTATATATAGGAAACTGCATACAGAACGAGGAGAAAGATTTCTATCGATCGGTATCGGGTTTAAAGGTATCTGGAAAGGATTGTCATTGCGGAAATTCTGCTATCCAGTAATTAACCGTTTTGTGCACGATTCGAGCAGCTAGACAGTAACAGGGAACATTATTCGTGAAAGTAATTGAACTCGTTATGAAACTCGTATTTCAAGAAAGTAATCTAAGCGTGGTAGGGATTTCGTAATTCTCGGCTGAATCTCTAATTAGATCCGCATATGCCAATCGATCCTCCCTCAGTCACGCACCGGCCTGCGTTCGATTCGTAGCAGCGAATAGAATAACAGATGGTCGACATTTAAGTTGAACTCGATATTCACGCGAATCACCAGACTTCTAGTAAAACCGCCAATTCGTTCGTTTTTTAACGTCTAGGGAATTTTTTCTACTCGACTCTTCGCGCCAAGGATAAAGAACCTCGCTGGAAATTACCTACTGCCGGTAACACAGCGTACCTCGTTCATTTCTTTTCTCTGCCAAATCTCAAATTTCCAAAATTCCATAAAATTCCATAAAATTCCATATCAGGAAACATTCGTACCGATTCGCAATTAAAAATTCCTCCTTTTTCCGATCTCTTCCCCGAATTACGATATTCCAGTTACACTTTATCCCTCCGTCCGTCAGCTCGGTCGATAACGAAGCACGCAGTGTTCTCGAGAATTCTGCAGCGATCGGTAGTCGCGGGAAATCGTGGACGAAAAGTGGCGTTGTCTCGGGCTCGGTTAGCAGCGGAATCGGGAGACGAAGAAAGAAAAGTACTCCGGCTGATAACTAGACGAGGAGCCGGTTAATTAGCCGCACGGTTAGATAACGCTCTTTATCTAGATCGCGTAGAACGAGGCAGTGCAGTAGCGCAAACGTGCACCAGCCAGCAGCCAGTCGACACTCGATTGGCGGAGCGGATGGCGTGGATGGAGGAGGTAAAAGCGACGAGGGGCTGTTGCAGGCGAGTGGCGGAGAGGCGAGGAGGTGGCGGAGTTCTGGTTCTTTGCAGAGAACTCCTCCGGTAGTCGCCTCCTTGACGTTCCTCTGGGGGGTTTCGAGCTCGCGCGTGGGAGTAGAAGCTGATAGTAGCGTGGGGTGCATATCGAAGGGAAGATGAGAGTGGGTGGAATTGGTTGGTTGGCTAAGTGGTTTGGGGGAGGCTGAATGGAAAGAGACACGACGTATGTACGCGAGCAAGGAGCGTGGAAAAGGGCGGTCGGGGAGGTTAGAGGCCGAGGGAGTGGGGTGGTCGAGGCGTGGGTGAGCGAAGCCATCGGTGTATCGAGGGGAAGAAGGAAAGACGAAGAACGGAGAAAGACGCGAGCCGCGGTACGAGAGACGCGTAGACGGTGGTAGAACGCGGCAGAAAGGGAGGCTACAAAGCGGAATGGAAAAAGGAAGGAAACGACCACGCGAGAGAGATAATAAACGAACGTCGGCGGAATAGAGAGGGCCCGAGTAGGAAGGGCGAAGGCGCGCGCGCGCTCGAGAGGGAGAGAGAGAGACAGAGCGACGAGTGGGTACGTGGCCGATGACGGGAGCGAGATGGCGAAACGTCGGGACGGAAGGTGAGAAACACGGAGAAGGATGAACGGAGATGGAAGAGACAACGACACAACAGGGACAGTGATACGGTGTAAAGACAAATAGAGCGGGAATGCAATAAGGAGAGACGTAGCCGGAATATACATATTTCGAAGAAGGAGAAAGGCGAGAGGAAGCGGGAAAAGAGAGGAGCGAGAAGGACAAAGAGGGCGGAGGATCGAGGGAGATAGCTGGAACAGATAGGTATGCTGGAGGCGAAAGAGACAGAACGGACGGATTGTAGAGGAAAAGGGTAGGAAGGAGAGTACACCGACGAGAGAGCGACGAAGAGAGGCGCGTTAACGTGGGAGAGTACGAGAGGAGCCGGGGTGAGCGCGAGAGAGAGGGTAAAGCGGAGAGTCGACTCGGATATGAGGGTGTCGCGCAAGCCGGTCACGCCGAGGTTTCCATGGCAACGACAGGCGATAAATCAACCCGCAACATCCCCGAGTACCGCCAGATAAAACCGCATACACATATGTGTATACGTACATACACGTTCGAAGAGGAGATACCGACTGGTAACTCCGCGCCCAAAAAGTTTTCCCTTCGACCGATTTATGCCGCCGCTGCCTGCAACACCGAACGCCTTCCCATCGAACAGAACTCTTTTCTCCCTTTTCTCCTCTCTTTTTACCTCTTCTCTCTCTTCCCCGCTCCGCGTCCGCGTATATACCCTTCTGGTATCTCTCTCTTCCGCCTCCCTTTATAAACTCCTCTTTTTCTCCCATTCCTCTCTTCATTCCAGTTCCCCTCGTTTCCTTTTCTCTTATTATCCTTCCTTCTTCTCCTCCGTTCTCGTCGTCGTCTTCTTCTTCTTCTTCCTCTTCTTCTTCTTCTTCTTCTTCTTCTTCTTGTCCTTCTCCTTCTTCTCCATTTATCCCTCTCTCTCTCTCTCTCTCTCTCTCTCTCTCTTCGCTTTATCGTTCACCTCTCGGCGCGCTCCCCATCCACGCCTTCTCTCTTCCGCCCCTGGTCACTGCCTCTCTCTGTTTCCCTTTCTTGTTCACTTGTCTCTCGACTCTCCGCTATGCAGCGCGCGCGACCGCCACACAGGTACACGCGCGGCGGTGCGCCCCGTGCATGCACACACGGTGGCTGCCGGCCTATCGTGGCGCATGCCACGACCTCGAGCTGTCCTATCGTCCTTTCGCCGCCACGAGAAGTATGCAGACGTTGTAACTTACGATTAAACGCAGACGGTGTTGATAATAACAGTTCGTTTCCCTGCCACGCTTCCGATCCAGTGCCGGGCCACTGCACGGAGGAAACGGGCAACGGTAACCGGCCGATATTCCAACCACACTTTCCACCGCTTCTCCGGCTCTCGGAACACGCGTGGGAACT